TAGTGTGAAAAATAAATGTTATAGTGTGGTGCACATATATGCTTAACTGTTGACTAATGCATATCCATTGCATTTTATGGCACCAGTTGAAGGAACAAGTCATGAATTCTCTCTTCATAAACAATTCCATTTTTCTTACATCAGTGCAAATGTTCTTTAAGCATTATGGATTATATAGGACCAAAACCTTTGAATTGTTAAATCTAATCCTTTTAAAGATGCATTTGCTTTTCAAACCTTATATTCTATATCGACTTGTCATTTCAAATCTTCTTCTAGCTTTGCATTTGCATAGCCAATATCTACTGCTGGTAAAACATCCAACATCAGATTGTGTATAGACAAAATTCAGCTTAAATTGGGTGGGGCTCATTAATCAATCTCAAGATCTATGTTAAAGGCTCTCTTACCATTCCTGCTAATAGTTGGAGGCACAAAAGTGATATTTTGTGCTACCTTCATTCGTATTTATAATCTTTTTGTTCTTTTTTTTGAAAATTTGAAAGGAAATGAAGGGTAAATGAGTCACACCATATCTTTAATTTCTTTTGAAAAACATGGAATATGTTTAAGTCAATTAATAAAAGCTTTGGGTATGTTTAAGTCTTTTACCCTTATATGTATTTCTTTCTTTCAAAAACAATCATTTTCAACCTGGCCCAGGCCCACATCAAATCCCATGCACAAATTTCAGGGCTAGGGCTGCGTCCAATACTTTAGGCCCGGCCTGGCCCACACTTATATGTTATTTATACATAATTTACACTTATGTGTGCGTGTATATATATATATATATATATATATATATATTAATTATACCAAATATTGTATATAATACTTTTATGTTCATTTATAAAATACATTTTATATACACATTATATGTTATATAATATAAAATATTATTTATACTTAATATTTTACACATAAAAGCTATAGGCCAAGAACCTGGGCTAAGCCAACCTATATCATAGGCGCAAAGCTTGGCCTAGCCTGACCCATGATCACCCCTAATTTAGGGTTATAAGTTGGATTGCCAAATTTGAAGAATTTCAACTACATCAAGCTTGGGTTGGGGTTCGAGCTCATTGAAAATTTATCAAACTCCCAACTCTACCCGATCCAAGTTGCACCAATATTTGGGTTGGAAATTTTGGGTTTTGTTTTTTGACATAATTTTAGGTCCTAACTAGGGTCCATTTTAGGGTTGGTCTTGGTTTGGCCCTTAAGCTAGCCTAATCCATCAATTTCCCTACTTTATTTAAAAGGGTTAAGAGATTCAAAGAGATTTAAAAGGAAATTAGGAATTTAATGGGGTGGACAGATATTACAAACATTGACCATTGTAGAGAGAGAGAGAGAGAACGCATAAGTGAGATTGATAAGGGACACTTTATAGGGAAATCCCCTTAGGTACCAAAACATATTAACTTGGTATATCTTGGGTTAGACCCTGAAGAAAAGGCCGACCTAGTTCATCCCCCTTGGGTTAGTAACCTAGGCAACAAAGTGGAGGGCTGATATGACACCTACAAATGGCACATTGATGAGGGATATGGGGTTTAGCCACATACTTTTGTTTTTGTCTATATCATTTGTTGTACAAGGCTAATATTCTCATCAATTTTGTTTGACACCCATTATTTATGTTGTAAAATTAAATTAGTTTTTTATTGAGATTAAATCAAATTTTATTTGTAAACAATAACCCATTTTATGGATCCTACATCATTTGAAGCTCATACTTTTTCTAATAATGGGTAAGCACATATATGAAAAAGGAATGCTTCTATTTGAGAGTAGAAACAACCACTCATTTAATATTCTTTCTTGAAAAAATATGGTGTCACTTGTCTAAAAGAGAATTACTTTGGCCTAAGGGCGTTCTTTTAATGTATATATCAACGAATACAATTTGGGTCTAGTTATCATCCATTTGCAGCCCTACCCTAAATAATAGTTTTTTTCATGTTTCCATCAATACTCGGATGAAAAATGTGGAGTCCATATCCAATTAAATCACCTGTGGTATGTATATCAAATTAAACTGTCCAAATATGGTGTGCCCAAATCTTTGGTTTTTTTTTTGTTTCAAAAGTCAAATTATTTTTAGGGAAAATTCCACTTTAGTACCTAAACTTTGGGGGTAGTGTCAAGTTAGTACCCGGACTTTCAAACGTGTCACTGTAGTACCTAAATTTTCAAAAAGTGTCAAGTTGGTCCTTGTCGTTAACTGACCGTCAGTTATCTATTGAAAATGTCAAAACTACCCTTCAAATGAAGGCATTGTTCATTGTCTTCTACCTTGAGACTGATCGGTTGAGGTGTTTGAGATTTTAGACTAATGAAGCCATTGTCTTCTACCTTTAGATCTGAAACACATTATTGTCTAGTTATTTCTTTGCTTTCATTTATTGTTTCCCTCTATTATATTTCATGTTTTTTCTCTCTTTTTCTTTGAAGATAACCGGTTCAGTCTCAAGGTAGAAGACAATGAACAGTGTCTTCTTTTGAAGGGTAGTTTTGACATTTTCAACAGATAACTGACGGTCAGTTAACAACAGGAACCAACTTGACACTTTTTAAAAGTTTAGGTACTGCAATGACATGTTTGAAAGTTTGGGTACTAACTTGACACCACTCCCAAAGTTCAAGGTACTAAAATGGAATTTTCCCTTATTTTTATGATTTTTCGTATAGAGCCATAACATCGTAATGGTAAGTAAAATAATGGGCAAAATAATACTATTGAAGTAAAACCAATGGGCAAAATAAAATAAAAATTATTAATTTTAATAATTATTATTTATTATCATAATTAATAATCATTATAAGAAAAAATTATTATACTGTCTTGTATATATTGTATAGTAAATGGACCATTCAATTTACAGTGGACTCTCCATTTTGTCTACCTTACCAAACATGAAAAGCCTTTTTTATTGGAATTTATGCCATGAGAGTATATTCGAGTGAGGAGTAGGACTATAAATATCTTGCTTATTATATTATGTCTGCAAGATTGTTTGTGCTCTGGAACTAAGAAGACTGCTTTTCATTTAAATATCGACCAGCTTCTCACAGTTTCTTACTTAACCTGTATTTGTTAGAACCATCACCATAATATTTTCTATATAAAGACTTCGATAAGAAATTGCCAATAAAGTAATAACTTAGGTAAAACTTTTCAGGTCTTGGGTTTGTTGGAAAGCATGAAAGCTAATAAAGCTTCTCTTTGATTTGTGAGTGCCCAAGATTGTCACATATTAGTAAATTTTGTTTCATAAATACTGAAGACCAATGTCATCATTGTAATGTCAGGGTTTATAATTTAGAATAAAAATAAAACAAAATAGAAAAAAGAGCTTGAACAACCTTGTTTTAATATATAGATATAGATTTTGGATGTAAGGGTTTTTATTTTAATTATTTATATTTTTTATTATTTAATTTAAAAGTAACTAACCACATGTGTGTTTTGACATTAGTCTGGTTCTACGCCAAGGTCCATGTTTAGGGTGGGTTTTGGGTTGGCCCTTAACCCTACCCAACCCATCTAAATTCTACCCATGTTTTATTAGAGAGGGTCAATAGGGATTTTGAGATATTAAATAGGAAATAGAGGGTTTGAGAATAATTTAAGAAAGGGAGAGATATTTGAGAACAATTTTATTAGAGAAGAGTAATGATAAATTTTAATATAAAAAATTAAGAGGATTTTTGTGAGGAGACATGCTTGTACCTCTTTGAGATTTTTGATACTTTATGATAGGAGATTAATTAAGTGCTTAACTTAAAAGTTTTTTTTATCATTTTAGTAAATTCTCTATTTTTTTTTTTCATGTGTGAAAAGGGAGAGAAGGGAGACTCCATGTGAGGCTTGTGGTGAGAGACTTTTTGACCTTTCCCATACTCCTCTTTCTTATAATATAGATTCATCATATTAAACAAAAATAAGTATGATAAATGTTCAACATATGACCCTTTGACATGATCAAACAGTTCAATAGTTCAACAGGCCAAATGGGATCCTTGACTGAGTCAACCATTTTTTTTTTATTTGTGCAAGTTAAAGGTTTGAGGGTTAGACTCAAAAGTCTGGCCGGATGAACCAGTCAACTAGTCCAAACTGATTGGTTTGACCACGGGTTGAAAACATTGGTATACATCTCTAACGTACTACAAAGTTGGGCTTAGGCTTTAAAATCCAAGTTGCTAAGGGTGTGAGGCCCTTGTCACCACCCCCAATGAAACACGGTCACACCAGCATTCAGCAATGACCAACAAAAAAAAAGTTCACATGCTGTTTGAATTTATTTCCATTAATTGCTGGCGTGTTCGTGTTTTAAATGTCTTATACGAATGCTGCAACCACACATGTGAACTCGTATAAGACATGTAAAACAAACAATGACCACACATGGGGTAGTCATTTCAGATTTCATACAGATGAACTCTTTTGCAATTCTCCAATTTCTGTCTGTTAAAGAAAAGTAGATTAATCCGAAGCTAGAGAGAGAGGATCAGGTTTAATTAAGATACATAGATGTGTAAGCCTCTAAAGAACTTTACTTGAAATGAATGATTGTTTGATAAAAAAATTCAAATTGTAAGGCAATGCATGTTATCACTGGGTTGTAAAGCAACTAATCATATATATAAACAAGTCAGCCACTTCATATATATATATAAGCTGATGTTATATATATAGAGAGAGAGAGAAACCCAAATGATTAGGACAAATTTACCAGTGGTCCTGATCCTCACTTCTATCTCCAGAAAAATTTTAATCTCTACATCAAAAAATGTCTGATCAGTTTCCTTGTCTTCTTCCATTCCCCAAGTATAATAATAATGGTTATGTTCCTAAAAATTCTTAAAAATCTGTACCATTAGATGCTGTCTGTTAGGCTTTAATGAACATCGATCAAAACTTAGATAACTGGGTTTTTTTTCTCTTTCTTTGTAATTGTTCATTCATTCTCATTCACTTACACAGTTCATGGAAAGCAAGAGGAAAGTTTCATGCAATTATGCACCGACAATGTGCCTTAATTCATTACACTAGCTAGAGTCCTTTGCACTTAAAATCAAAATAGACCTGCCAACTTGCTCAACTTGTTGAGTTCTAAAAACCCAATTGGTTGTGTTACAGTTGAACTCCCCTTTGGATATATATATATATATATATATATATATAACCACAGAAAGAGATGCAAATGTATCAATTTGTTTCAATGCACACAGTATTAAAATCTACAGTGATAGCTTCAGCTCCAAGTCTACTTCTCTGGTGTCACTTGAGTCAGAGTTCTGACTGCTTGAGCCCATTGAGCCGCACCTGTCTTTCCTTCTCTTCTTTTGCACTGAATCCTAAAAGATGCAATAATGGGAATTAAAGAATTAAATCTCATCTTCGAATTTACAGAAGATGTACTTCGACTAAAGAAATAATGCAGATCTAGTCAGAACTTAATTATCATGCCAGAAATAATTAGAGAGGACTGTGTATCTCAAGCCAACCTCCACGTTTAGGCTCAAGAGATGTCTGGTCAAGCTAGGTTGCATGGTGTCTTGGGTCTCAAAGCTACCACTGCTGTGATTCCATCTGCTGTTAACACATTTGTCAGATAGATCAAATGAACATATTATCATTAATGGAGCCCTTGCTTGACACAAGAAGCAAAAATAGCAAACATAAGTACCTAGCCATAGTGCCATACTGGGAATCCGAATCACCATATCTGGTCTCTATGGTTTCCATCTCTCCTAAACCCAGCTGCTATATATCATGAAGAACTATCAGTAATTGGAACTACCAGCAAATTAAAAAAAAAGTATTACTGGATATCTCATATTGGCATCTAAAAAATCACAAAGTTGGGTTTTGTCCCCACGATTTAATCCCTCAACCTCCTCACCCAAATTGGAAAAGAAAGGAAAAAAAGAACAACAGGAAATCTTGTTTGGTTTGATCAGAAGAATTATGCTTATCTGTGGACGTTGAACGGTTAAGAATTAGAGAAAACTGATGCATATTATATCAACACCAGTATGAGTTTCGATGCAATTATCCTTCTGTGGATTACTTTCTTTCTTTCTTTCATGTATTATTCTTTTATACTGATGAAGAATGATGTCAAATATGGCATACCGTCATGTTTGGGTGAAAGACTAAAGATGATGATGACGACTGTGAATAAGAAAGGAATGATGAAGATGACGGAATAGATGAATATGTTGTTCCCATCCTTACATCCTCTTCCTGCAAGTATGATAACCAGAAAGCACCGTATAACCACTGGACTCACAGATGAGAATGAGAACTGAAAATCAGAAGAAAACAAAGCAGAATTCAAATTACCAGCTGGTTCAGATTAGTGTAGCAGGGACTGTGAAAGGACGGAAAATAGCTACTACCCATTTGGTTATAGAGTCTGATCTTCTCTAGCTGAGCTACTCCAAGGCCCCTCTGTGGTTGCCTGGGCTTGTCTGAGTTACTCTTCTTGCCTTTCCTTGAAGACCCAGATCGTCCATGTCCCAAGCTTGGCTCACCAAAATAACTGCCATCCATCTCTTCTTCTGGACTGAATAAGTTTGTACCTATGGTTAACTTCTATTCTCTCAACATATTTTCTGGTGGTGAACGAATGAATGAGAGATCTACAATACCCCTTTTATGCTGTTTGCCAAAAGTAATTATTGCTTAGCTGTATCAGATTGTAAAGATTTATAGATGTTTAGCCAGATCTTCTCCCTCTTTTTCTTTTATTCATTTTGAGAAAATCTCTGAGTTGTATATATTTTTCACAATGTTCTTCATTTACTGGTTAGACTTGAGACAACCATTTTGAAAGAGATTGTTGTCATTTAATTGTTAATTGTTAAAAATATAGATTAGGAACTTTTTTTAATCTAAGTAAAAAATTGCCTCTTGATTAGGGAAATCCAAACCAGTGTTTGGAATAGAATATTTTGATGGTCCATCCATGCACAGAGCACACATGGCCCACATTATTAATTGATCCCCACCATCCTTCTGTTTAAATGATCCAAATGTTTGACAAATTGTGTGGTTAAGATTGTTCAATCCCTTCAGATAATTGGTTCATCTACCATATTGGCATTTTTCTGGTATATCTGGAAACCACACCAGGTTTCTTCTTCTATAATTAACTAGTTAAAAAGGTAATTAATTAGATAACTATAAAGAATAATAATCGAAATGGTAAATCATATCTAATTTGGATTTTATATAGTTTCAATAAATTTCTTTGGCAACTTCCCAGGAATTGCCATCTGCTGGGCAGAATGGGATTTTCAGCAAGATATCATCCAAGCTATATGAACCCTGATATGTTATAATTAATATTTTATTATTCATTGTTATATAATAAAACAAGTATTCTTTACTGGGTACTGTCTGAAGTTGCTAAATCTAATACTAATTTAAGAAAGGAATTCAATTAAAAGTTGAGCCATGAAGCTAATAGATGGTGATCTAATTAATTTGTCATCAAAATATCATAAGAGGATTTATTCATGAGATAAATATGTCAACATATGCAGAGTTCGTTGCCGAATGCCATGCACCAAATCAAATTAAACTGTTTAACGCATGATTTGTGGGTCACAATATTTATGTGGTCTCCATTTCTTAAACGGACATGTGACCTCCCAGAAGACATGAAACAATAATTCAGAAGATGCATAAATAGAACTTTTCTAACCCATATATATTAGAATAATTGCAAATGAAAGTCCCAAATCCATGGTTCAAAGTATCAATACTATTCTTGATATTAAAAAGCATGTATTGAACATTTTTGTTAAGATGAATATTAATATTTGGATCTATTAAATAGGCCGAACTTATTCAAGATCTGTTTGGTTTACAGTTGGAATTGGAATCGAAATCAAAATCCTTTAGAATTGAAATCGAAATGTATTGATGATTCTGAAAACGAATACATATCATACGATATATCGCAATACACTGAAACTTATATATTCACCCTCATAATTTTCTTACAAGACCCAGAATAAGATCAACTCTGTTATGATTGTGAAAAAAAAAATGAAGGCACCCCAAAAAATCAAAATAGGGAAAATAAAAGACAAAAACAAATAACACAAAATTCAAGAAATTTACATGGTTCAACAAGATGTCTAGATATGGGACAGAAGGTATGGGGCCAATTAGACAAATGGGTATCTTGAGAGCCTCCTTTTTCTTCTTGAATCCCATTATGTCAGTTTCCAGTTAATATTGGAATGGCAGAGACAATAGACTCCAAATATAAAGAATGACAATAAACAATTAAAACAAATAAGATGTAGGTGTGTCTTTTTGTGCAATCCAAAGTCAATCAGGAATTGGTTTATTCTCATTAGTCAAACTTTGAGAACTCCAATCCTTAATTTTTCCTGCCATGCCATAAAAATACATAATGTTTCCCATCATAGCTCTCAAATTACTAGAACAAGAGAATAAATAAAGAATTTCTCTATGAAGTGTGACCTACCTTTTTTCATAATTGACATATTAAAGATAACATATTCAAGACAATGGCAAAGGCTCTCTAGTCATAAAACCATACTCCCTTTCTCATTTGCCATTCATGTGGCAAACAATTAATTAATTGATGATCCTCTCTACTTGGTAGATCTTGGCCCATAGAGTACACAAGCTTTCTTGGGTGTCCATCATTTTATTGGATGGTCATGGACAAGTGGTCCATGTTGTATTGATTCCTTTAGTGCTTGATCTTAATTTGTCCAAGCTGTTCTATGAACTGGTCTCATTGGCTAGATGGTTTGGAGTTAGTTACAACTTATAAAGCTTAAATATATCATCAATGGAGATGGGTTGCAAATAGGTGAGAAGCTACAAAATTCAATACTATATAATATTCTAATTTACAATATATAAAGAAAGAAGTAGTCTTAATTTAGTATTAATTCCAAGCTATCGTGTTCAACAGCCATGGGTGCAAAACATATGGTTCAGCTTCATCCTTCTAAATGTGCAGCAAATAAAAAAAAGGGAAGCTCTATCCTTCTGAGAGATGGACTGGACCATGAACTATGGGCCTTTATATTATGAGCTCACTTGGCAATGACAATGGAACCCCATTACTTACCCCACAATAAAGCACTAGAAAAGGGGAAATTTATGGAACATAGACTTTGTTGGATCAATCCAGCTATCACAGGAAGTTCACCCTAAAAAAAAAAGAAAAAGAAAAGAAAATTTTGAATGGGCTCTTATGTCATGGGTTTAAATTGGACGAGCCCATGAACACTGTTACTTTCCCTACAAATAACAAGAAACAAAGAATTAAAAAAAAAAAGGAAAGACAAAAACAACATATCATGAAATAAATAAACTAATGAAAAGCAAAAAAAATAAAAAAAGCAATGTGTTGTTTGTTAGGTTTGATTTGACGTGTGTTGGAAGAATATAAAAACCAAACAAAAGAAAGTATAAAGAATATAAACTGCATATAAACTGCAGATTGTGGGCACATGCAGAGCAAAGGCACATTACTACACAGTACACACAATGGAAGCAATATGCATCAAATAAACCGGCTCAGTCTATTGTTAAGCGACTTAGAGCAAACCCTTTTAAGGAGAGAGAGAGAGAGAAAGAGAGACTGTGGGACTAAGAACCAAAAGAATCCCCTAAGATTCTCGAAAAAGATCAGCCATCAATGACATCTAATTGTCCAGTTTGGTATTTAAATTCAACTCAAAAGCTCCCTCTTTTTGTCATGATAACTCCACTTTGGATGTCAATCCCTAAGTTTCCTGTATATATCCATAGATTACAATGAACTTGGGGAAATCTAGGCCTGTGTCATATAGTAGGACCCTCCACCATTCTGTTCTCTGAAATTTCTAGCTAAGGAACCATCTCCTTTGAGAAATCTAGGCATGTGTCTTATTGTGGGACCCTCCACCATTCTGTTCCCTGACTTCCTACTTAAGTAACCATCTCTCTCTCTCTCTTTCAAAGATACAGACAGACACAGAAGCTAGGTAGAATGTGGACCACTTAATTCTAAACAGATCACCAGAGCTTAGATATCTAGTTTCCTAAAGATAAGCACAAATTGTGAGCCATTTCAGTAAACTGTGTCGTCAAATTAAGCAAGCTTTCCCTAAAGCTAACAAAAGCTTCTGCAAATTCCAAACCTAGCTTATATACTGCAACTTGACAAACAAGTATGTATATATATATATAGACCCAGACAAAAACAACAGCTCATGGTTCCAAGCACTCTGCCTTTGGGACCACATGGGAGATGTATTCTTCTAATAAGAGGTGAAAATATAAACAAATTAAAGAGAGTTGATGGATCTACAATCAGGTAATTTGGCTTTTGATACAGCCAGAAGGGCACCTCGGAAAAGAGCTCTTCAGCACATGTCAAGTTGCAACAAAGCTCAACCCTGATTCTTTAATGAATGCATGCATGAAGAGGTTTAACCAAGCAGATTGTTGATGGACTGGGAAATCTGCACAACTAGTGCAACCAATCGCCTTTGTCTCCTCCTAACCCCAAACTATCACTGACAAAACCAACATCATTAGTGCTTTTATAATCTACTTCGGATATGATTTGCTAGATTGTTGATGGACAGCCCAGTTATTCCCAGCTTATCCTCCATTTTATATGTATCAACAAACAATTAATAATGTGTACTATATTATCATTAATTTCAGCTTAACCAAATAAACTGAGAATATTAGTACTACAAAATATCTCCAAAGATGCCAAGGCTCAAGCATGGAAATATAAAATTGCAAAAAGTGATCATGTTTCCTCCAAAGAGTTCAAAAATATAAACATATGACCCATCTACTCATCTTCCTGGAAACTGATCAATGAGATTAGGATTCCATCTACCTCTTCATGAATAATTATTTCTTATATTAATTCTTGCCAGAGAGAGAGAGATGTTAAATGGAGTTACCTAAATCTCATTCAAAGAAAAAGTTATCTTGTTGGCTAAAGATACCAATCTTGATAAAATATAGGTTGGAATGTTTAGTTAATGAGTTTGGTCATCAATATCAAAAGTTGGGTTTAAAATATATTAATGATCATAATAGGGATCATAGCTTTCTTTTGAAATTGCTTCCATCTCACTCAATACTCAAAAAGTTTATCGTTCCATTTCAATGGAAATGAAAAGCTAAATTGATTTCTTCAAAAGTAGGGAACAGACACATCTCTACCTATGAAGAGATCTCCATTTTGTCTAATAAACGTGAGAGCTTCTTTATTTTGTCATAATGTAAATTAACTCCAAGCTAGGACTGATGATGTCACATTCCTCTATATCTAATTGAAACATTGTTTATACTTATCTCCATACCCTTATTAGTTTATGTTTCCTTTATCTCTTCCACTCTTTTGCTTACTTGGAACCTATCACAGATTCACAGGTTGGGTGGCTACAAAGATGTATAACAACTTGCACATGTAGACATCATTTGGTATTTGAATTGCTTGTATGTATTAAGCTCAAATCTGCTGCAACCATGGTCGCACAGATTTGTGCGACACCCCAATATAAAACAGACACAATTCCCATTTATTTTAAATTGAAAACACACTAGGTGATCTGCTTTTTGGTTGCAGTCGCAAGAATATTGTGTGACGATTGTTGGGGCAGATCATTCTGGATCTCCTACAAAGATGTATACTCACTTCAATTAATATT